AGCTACTGAGTTAATATTATGCAAATTTTATCTTTAATAAATTCAATCTTCAAATAAAAATTTTTGTTCCAGTGTCACCTTATGCTCTATTGCTTTTTCTTCTGCTTTTTGCATCTCTGCTTTCAGCTGCTTTTCCATGTCTGAGGAGGAACACTTAGCAGAAGCAATGGTGATATCTCGTTGATGTAACTCCCTTGTTAGCTGGGAGATTTCCATCTTCATTCCTTCTAAAGCAGAACTGTAACTTTGTTCAGTCTGTAAAATCTGTTCTTTCAACTACAAAGCATAAAAGGAAGCACCACAAGTTAAGAGAAAGCATTTACATACAAAAACGTGCTAATAATTAATACAATAAGGTGATGTTTACCTTACTTCAAGAAATGAAATTTTTCCTAGATAAAATCTGCAGAAAATCAGCAGTTTACCAAGCTGCACGTCTGTGGTGAAAATCAAATGGTTACACACACTACCATTTATGAGTTCTCAACACAGATGAGAGGGGTTACTTGAACACTAAGGACCAGTATCTACGTCCTTGTACACTTTATTTAGAGAACAGCACCTGTGTGTGACTTTCATTCCTTGCTTAACTGCAAATGCAGAAATACTGTGTGTTCGGTTTCCTGTTCCATGGAATACTATACAAATATAAGGATACAAAGAAGAGGCTAGGTGTGATCTCAAAGAATGAAAACAGGGGCTGGCATTTTAGCGTAGTGGGTAAAGCCACCATCTACAAAACTGGCATCCCGTATAGATGGTCCCAGCTGCTTCATTTCCTATCTAGCTCCCTGCTAATGGCCTGGGAAAGCAGCAGATAACAGTCCAAGAGCTTGGGCCCCTGCACCCAAGTGGGAGACTGGGAGGAAACTCCAGGCTCCTGGAGCCCAACAGTCTGGCCCATTCCTGTGGGGAGTAAACAATCAGGGTGGAAGATCTCTCTCTCTCTGTAACTCTGCCTTTCAAATACATAAAATTAACCTCTTAAAAAAAGAATGAAAACATATATATGTACCTGTCAACAAACAGGAGACCAGAGCCCATTAATGAAGAGACAAACAGGTCTGCATATCTCAATACCCGATGAGGACATTAACCACATCACTGCACAGAACATACATAATCATACCCGACTTCAGCCAATAAGAAAGTGTTACATGATAGTTCACCTAACATCTTTCTGAAAGCAACAAAATGTTTAGCTTTTAGAAAAGTTTTCATCAAAACGTTTAAAACAGAATTTTAGAGCTGAAAGGGGGCAGACATCTATTATCTTGAACGTATTCACATCATATCCCCAGGGATGCCAAAGAAAGAAGGCTCTTCCCCTGCACCTTCCGGGTGCTCTTCTACTCCTGAATGTCACGTGGCAGGGACCCCACTTTTCCATCACTGAAAACAATCCCTGTAATCTCTCGGCCTACAGCTCAGTCCTTCATCACATACTACTGTGCACTCCCAAACACACAAATTTTTACCTTTTTTTTTTTTAAATCTGACAGAGTTAGACAGTGAGAGAGAGAGAGACAGAGACAAAGGTCTTCGTTCTGTTGGTTCACCCCCCAAATGGCTGCCACGGCCGGAGCTGTGCGGATCCAAAGCCAGGAGCCAGGTACTTCTTCCCAGTCTCCCATGCAGGTGCAGGAGCCCAAGCACTTGGGGCCATCTTCTACTGCTTTCCCAGGCCACAGCAGAGAGCTGGATTGGAAGAGGAGTAGCTGGGACTAGAACCGGCATCCATAAGGCGGAGGATTAACCAAGTAAGCAACAGCACCGGCTCCAAATTTTTACCTTCTTAATCTCTGCCCTGTATTCATTGTTATGTATTTCCATCTTCTTCAATTCTTCATATTTTTCCATTAATTCTTGGCTCAGCTGTTTGCACGTTGCACTCACAGATTCCAAACTATATGACAAAAATAAAATCACATATTTAAAACAATAAAAACTTTTAAACACAAATTGGAATCCTGAATTTACCTTCTTGATGTCCAAGAAAGATCTTACTAGTATCTTGCTTTACACGCAAATGAAAACTCATTTCCAATTTCCTTATCACCAGAGATAGCTAAATCCAACTCAAACTTTAGGAGATACTTTTGACTTCTGTGTTTATCTATGTTCTTTCCCTCTGCTTAAAATTTAACCACTAGTGCAAGCATTTGGCCTAGCAATTAAGATTTCAATTAAGACACTCACATGCCACATCAGAGTACCTGGGTTCAATTCCAGCTTTCTCCTAATGCAAGACTCTAGGGGATGATGGTGATGGTTCAAGTAATTGGGTTCCTTCTACCCACATGGGAGACCTGGATAGCATTAGGATTCCCAGTTTTAGCCCTGGTCCAGCCCCAGTTGTTGTGGGCATACATGTATCAAATAAATAAATAAAACTTTACTTGGAAAATTCTAAAGATTATAGTAATTTGGCTATTTTTTTCTTCCAGTTATACACACAGCTTCCAGAATAATTTTCTCTAAGGAGGTCCATCCCAGTTTGTTACCTTTACACAAGAATCAATTAACCCATCACATAGAAGAGCCCCAGGGGTACCATACCTCTCCTATCCCATGGCTCATTTCTATCAGTGATGATCATTTTGCGCCTAAGTTGATAAGGTTTCCTGTCTGTCATGCGCCCTTCACCATGCCTGATTTCTCAAACATCATCTCCTTGACCACAGGGCACCTCCTTCCCAGCCCAACTGCCAATGGTCAATACCCTTTCAAGAATCAGACCAGGGCTGGAGTTAAGCCTCTGCCTGGGATGCCAGCATCCCATATGGGCATGGATTTGTGTCTTGGCTGCTCCACTCCGGATCCAGGTTCCTGCTACTGTGCCTGGGAAAGTAGCGGAAGATGCACCCATGTGAGAGTCCCAGATGAAGCTCCTAGCTCCTGGCTTAGGTCTGGCCCAGCACTGGCCGAGGTGGCCATTTGGGGAGTGAACCAGCAGATGGAAGATCTGTCTCTCCATGTCTCTCCTTTTCTCTCTGTAACTCTGCCTTTCAAATAAATAAATCTTTAAAACAAACAAAAAAGGAATCACAGTAGCACTTACTGGATTAGAGCCACTCCAACTCTCACTCCCCTCATCACCTTCCACACAATTTATTTCCAACCCTTACAGCTGGAATGTAACACTTTTTGAAGGATTTCTACTTTAAACTGACTAGTTAAGCTGCTCTCAGGTCTTTCAACATGTTATATTTTCTCTCTCAACCTATACATTCTATGATTAAAATAACATCTTGCACTTCTTATGTACCCTCAACTTTGTCCATCATTGCCTTATGGTGGCTCCAGACAGTGAAATGCTCAATACCCACCGGGAGACCGTCAGTATAGACAACTTTTTGAAAAATTTGGTTTGAAAGCAAGCATGACTTCGTAGGACTCTAAGATTAAAGGAGGGTTCTAATGATTTTTCTAAGATAGGCGAAATTACAGCATATTTTTTACCAGTCGAAATGCTCATGCAGAACAAAGAAAAGCTGATGCTGAGGAAGAGGCAGGGCACAAGTGCAAAGCAGAAGTTGGGAGCACAGACCCTGTACCACCCACACAGCCACAGTGAAAGACCAGACACGGGCAGACTGACACAGCTGGTGGCAGGAGGATCAGCAAGTTCTTTTTAATTGCTTCTGCTTTCTCACTGAAGTAAGTGAGGCCATTTGTGGACACTAGAGAAAAATACTTAAATGCTTTCACTAAGATTATTTATTAGCTTATTTATCAATATGATGATCAAAAACTCATGTTAACAACTGGCAGGTTTGGAGGTGTGTATGTAGTTATCTACCTGCCTTCGAGACGGGTGACCTCCGCCTGCAGGAGCTCTTCACTGGTGTGGGTAAAATCCAGCTGGGAGAGCACACTGTCCAGGTCCCCCTGCCCTGGACAGACCTCCTTCTTTTCCACCTGAGACCCCGCTGGTAGCCTGCGGAAGGACACAGGTCACTGTTAAAGGTCTTCTGTCTTTGCAAACAAAAATAACGCACAACCAGTCTGCACTTCCCAACTGTTTGGGGTAACTAAACCCTGTGGAACTCGTCTGTTTGTCTCCTGCCTTATGAAGACAACACTGAGACAGTGTAGAGTCAAGAGGCACTGCTTCTCCAAAGACCCTGGATCAACTCACGCCTTTCTGAACTGGGATTTGGCCTGTTTTTCAAGGGAAAAAGGTCGACAAAATAACAAAAATCGCTTTGTTGACACATGATACCTGAGCCAAGGAAATTGGGAAGGTACAGCAGAGTTCTGACAAGAGTCAAAGTGTGTACCAGCCTTAAACCAAGCAAAAGGAGTACACACTACTAATTTCCATTACAACGCTCTTGCAATAATAATTCAGATATAAAAATTAGTTTCAGCAATGTTGTTCAAAGGGCCAGCTCACAGCCTGGACCAGCCCTAGCACTGCAGCATTGCAGCCATCTGGGGAGTGAACCAGAGAATGGAAGATCACTCTCTCCCTCTATCTGTAGCTCTCCCTTTCAAATAGATAAAAAAAGAAAGAAAGAAAGAAGGAAAGGGGGGTGGGGAAGGCTAGCTCCCAGGCTGGCTGTTCTGCCAGTACTAATGACCCATTCTATGCAGAAAGAGAAGGGGGAGGGGAAAGGCAGAGGAAGAGGAGGGGAGGGGAGGGAGAAGGGGAGAGGGGGAGAGGAGGGAGAAGGGAGGGGGAGGGGAGGGGGAGGGGGAGGGGAGGGGAGGGGAAGGGAAGAAAGAGGGAGGGAAGGAGGAGGAAAAGCCCTAGCTCCCAGGCTGGCTGTTCTGCCAGTACTAAGGACCCATTCTATGCAAAAAGAGAAGCCTTCTAGGAATCACAGAATTTCACCCAGAGTGCACCCTGACCAAAGCGTTTCTAACTTTCTGAACACCACAGTCTCTGCTAGGGCCCCAAACTGGAGGCAGAAAAAACCAACCATACAAAATTACGTAACACTATATAAAAAATCTAACTCCAAAATTAAAACTGAGAAAACCTGCAGTATGATCAAGCATGAAGTTATGAATATACAATATTGAAACTTGTGCTCACACCAAACCGCCAAGTGGGGAAGACAGGCAATGGGTAAGACTGAATTCACCTTGGGGCCTCTGCTGTGCACTGAAAGTCAGCTGCCTTTAATCTGGCTTGTAGGCTTTCCTTCTGCAATCTTGCCTCACGGATGAGATTTTCTTGGGACTGAAGACTGGCCTTCAATTCTTTCTTCTCTTCCTGAAGAGCCTGCAAAATGCTCAGAAAAACAGTCAGACGTTATTATGATTTTTGGATTTCATGAGAAAAGGGAGCTAGGAGATCAGACTGCAAGTAACATAATAGGTACAATATTAGTAAAGCCATCAATATCTGTTCCATCAGCTACAGAATAGGGAAGAAACCATGGACTTCAGAACCTAGCTCTGGGCTAATGAACTTCTCTTAAATCTCCCAGACACACATTTCTTCCAGGTCAGTAGCCTTGAAGCACACCTCTAACAGTTTTTCGGACTCCCTCAACTTGTCTTCCTTTTGCTGCTGCTCCTGCAGAATGTTCATGTTGGTTCCAATCAAGTCATTGACCCTCATGGTCAAGCGCTCGATCTCCAGCTCGTTGGCACAGATGGTGTCGTTGGCCCGCTCCAGGCGGCTGCTCAGGTGCTGGATCTCCGACTGGCTGGAGAGCTCCACAGATTCCAACTTCTGTTTCCGGTTGGCGAGCTGAGCCTAAGGAACACACAGATCATCCTTAGGTGAGAGGGAAATGATAAAAGAATAAATGATGAATGAGGAAGACTTGAAGGAAGCCGAGTTTCAACTTTGTAACAACATAACACTCACTGAAAACATAAATCTTTAAAATTACAGAGCACAATTCCAGTGTAAAGAGCCAACAACATTTTACCAGATCACTACCACACTATGAAAGAGTCAACCCAAGTTCAGATTCACTGGAGTAACTGCTCCGTAAGCAATGCCTCCAAACTTCTAGCAGACCCAGGGCTTGGCAGGGCACAGCTGGGAAACCACTGCCCAGGAGCCAGGGGCTTTCTCTGGGTCTCCCATGTGGGTGGGTGCAGGGGCCCAAGGACTTGGGCATCTTCTACTGCTTTCCCAGGCCACAGCAGAGAGCTGGATCAGAAGAGGAGCCACTGGGACTAGAACCAATGCTCAGCCCACTAAGCCACAGGCCCCAACCTACATTCTTAAAGTAAGCTCAGTGTTGAAGTTAGAGTTTATCTAGTGGGTCTAGATTTACTCTACTTAAAAATTAACCAACTCCTGTTTTGAAGAACCAAGAACATAGCTTCCTTTTTTGATTTACTATTTCAGTCATATAAAAATACACAAAGTGTTTTTAAGTACAATGAGAAAGACAAATCCTAAATTTTCATTAGCTAGCATGAACACAGGAGGCCTACACTGTCCACCCTGGCAGTCACTGGCTACTGGGCGTCTGAGCTGCGGCTGCTCTGAACTGAGTGTGAAACATACACTGCATTTCAAAGACTTGGTTAAAAACATACGTTATCTACTTATAAATGTTGCAATGATATTTTTGACAAACTGGGTTAAATAAAAATATTTTTAAATTAACTTTACCATTTTTACTTTTTAAATGCAACTATTAGAACATTTTAAAATTATACACGTGACTCACTTTTTTTATTTATTTATTTTTTATTTGACAGATAGAGTTAGTTATCAGAAAGATAGTGAGAGAGAGAGACAGAGAGAAAGGTCTTCCTTCCATTGGTTCACCCTCCAAATGGCCACCATGGTCCGAGCTACATCAATCCGAAGCCAGGAGCCAGGTGCTTCCTCCTGGTCTCCCATGTGGGTGCAGGGCCCAAGCACTTGGGCCATCCTCCACTGCCTTCCCAGGCCACAGAAGAGAGCTGGACTGGAAGAGGAGCAACCAGGACTAGAACCCAGTGCCCATATGGGATGCCGGTGCTGCAGGCAGAGGATTAACCAAGTGAACCATGGTGCCGGCCTCCATATTTTATCTTAGTGTTGCACTAGGTAAACTCTAGAATAACTCTTTTGATACTAAAAAATCAGAAATAATCATATAAATCATTTATAAAACAACTATTTCAAATACCTGGCTTTAGGGGTATTTTAAGGCTAACATGTTTTTAAATTTTTTTTTGTTTGCACTAACCACTGCCACTAATTTTTTTGAACCAGAAATTTCCCTTATTAATCTAACATTTATCATTCTAATTAGTTTACTGGAGTGAGTGGAATTATTTCAACACATAAATCACAGCAGATGAGGCTAAAACTAAATTAAGGAGGTAGAAAGATGTAGGGAGGTTGGATAATGGGTACAAAAATACAGTTAGAAGGAATAACCCACTAGGATGGCTCTCGTTTACAACAATTTGATGTACACTTTATAAAGAACCAGAACAGAGAGCTTGAAAGTTCTTACCACAAAGAATTGATAAATGTGATCATTACATACTCTATACACATATGGGACTGTTACATTATATGTCAATTAAAAATAAAAACGGCCCAGCACTGTGGTGTAGCCAGTAAAGCCACCCGCCGCCTGCAGTGCTGGAATCCCATATGGGTGCTGGTTCGAGACCCGGCTGCTCCACTTCTGATCCAGTTTTCTGCTATGGCGTGGGAAAAAGGTAGAAGATGGCCCAAGTCTTTGGGCCCCTGCCCGTGCATGGGAGACCCAAAAGAAGCTGCTGGCTCCTGGCTTCGGGTTGGCTCAGCTTCAGCCGTTGCAGCCATTTCGGGAATAAACCAGCAGATGGAAGACCTCTCTCTCCCCCCCTTCCTCTGTCTGTAACTACCTCTCAAATAAATAAATAAAAATTTTAAAAAATAAATAAAATAGTGAGGAAGGAAGGAAAGAAAGAAGGTGTGCAAGCTAGCCGGCAAGCAGGCAGGTGATTTCCATCACAGAGACGAAACACAAGTGGGCAGCTAAAGGGTAGGAGAGAACAGGGAAGGGCTGGGGATTGGAGGTAGAATCCAAATCCCCTTCTGGCTCTGTGGTATATACTTCCTGGTGCTCCAAGGAAATGATTTTCCCAGACAGTGAAGTTATTGAGAACAAATGGGATCTGAAGCAACAAAGGTGTTTTATTTTCCAAAGAATGCTAGTATGAAGGTGAGGTCACCTCAGACGTCAATCCCTTACCAAACTCTCCATCAACATCACCTCCAAACGCATTGTGCAGGCCACTGGCTTGCAGCACTCCCTGAGAATCCGGCTCCCTCTGAGAGCCTCTCTCCACTGCTGTGTCTGTGTCACTAGGAACCGTCAGCAGGAGGTCTGGGACATTTCAATTAACTCTATAATTCTACCACAACACATTAACGTTTCAGATCCTCCTTTCTTCCTAAGTTGTACTTAAAAATCCAATGTACATCCTTACATATATCGAACAGTGGGTTTAAAATTAACTCAAATATTATCCTATAGCTAAATATTTCAAAAGGAAAACATATATGCACCTCTACTTTCTCACATATTACTTATCAGCTAAATATCTTACACTCTGTGCAGGCTAAATTTTTAACTTTCGTTCAGATGTTCTCTGTGTTCACCAAGATTTCCCCAGACCCTTCCTTTTCACAATTGTATTACCTAGGGAAGGGGGAAGAGAGCAGGTGATTTCTTGCTTTCTAAACAGAAAGGACCTTGCATTTCAAATTATACCAATCCTTTTCTTATCCTTATGTAACCATCATTCTGTCACTGCATCTAATAAATCACATTGTTTAAAACTGGTACTTTTTAATGAAACACATTTTAATATGATAGAATACCCTCCATTACTTTTCTTTTAAAAATGTTGGCTAGTATATTCATTTATGATTCTGCATTCTGTCAAATCCTCAAGATGTAACAATCAATAAATCATGTAGATAATCATTTGAAAAAAATTTGCACTTTTGTCAGATACCTTAGACCAAAACAATTTTTAGATATAATACAAATTAAATTACAAAGCAGTAGAAGAAATCTTGGCTTAAGACTGTATAGTATGATATCAAAGATTGGAACCTTAAAGAAAAAAACTGACATAATTAAGTGGTTCTAAATAATTGTTTATAAAACAATATATTTTCATAAAACTGCTTGACAAAATTAATGTGAATTGGGTAAACACAGAACAGCAAAAGGCTTATAGTCCACACTCACTGTCTGAAGAGCTCTTTCAAAACAGTAAAATGTACACATCATAAAAGAAAAAAGGCAAAAGACACAATTTACATAGAATGAAAATGGCTAGAAAACAGATGAAAGTTCAACCCCATTCAGAATCACAGAAATGCAAATTAAAAAACTAATCAGGTAGTACCATTTTTCCCCTAATTAGATTGGCAAAGACAGGTCTAAAATTCGGAGGAGACAAAAAAAAAAGGGTTCAATGTTGAGAAATGGACATTCTCATACATTGCTAGAAAGTCTGTATCGATCCAACTCTGGAGAGCACTTTGACAATAGATATTAAAATACTTCAGTGGGTGTGGTCACAGTTTTCTACTGAGGAGCCTGGAGGCAGCAGATGGCTTGAAGACACACTGAGGATGACAACGAGCTCCGGCGTCCTCAGCCAGGCCAGGACTTCCCAGCTTCGCAGGACACAAAAGCATATACTAAAATCTTTAAGAATGACTGTTCTGGGCTGGAGCTGTGGTGTATAGCAAGTAAAGCTATGCCCTAAGTGGGCACCAGTTCAATCCCAGCTGCTCTACTTCTACGGCCTGGGAAAACAGTAGAAGATGGCCTACGTCCTTGGGCCCTTACACTGATGTGGGAGACCTGGAAGAAGCTCCTGGCTCCTGGCTTCAGACTGGCACAGCTCCAGCTCTTGCAGCCATCTGGGGAGTGAACCAGGGGATAGACAACTTCTCTCTCTCTGCATCTGCCTCTTTGTAACTCTGTCTTTCAAATAAATAAATAAATCTTTAAAAAAATTGAATAGAATACTGTATTTGAAAGTTCTTAATATAGTTCTGTGACTTAGTAATAAGCACTCTATAGGGCATCTTCAAAAAGCTGACTTAGTAAGTTGATATACGCAGCACTCTGAGAGGGAGCCTTCAGAAAGGTCATGGAAAAAGCATATTATTATTAAATTTCCCATGGATTTCAAAATGTTTACGTGCCAAAAGAAACCTGTCTCTTCGGGGCCGGCGCCATGGTGCAGCGGGTTAACGCCCTGGCCTGAAGGGCCGGCATCCCATATGGGCGCCGGTTCGAGTCCCGGCTGCCCCTCTTCCAGTCCAGCTCTCTGCTGTGGCCTGGGAATGCAGTAGAAGATGGCCCAAGTCCTTGGGCCCCTGTACCCGCGTGGGAGACCTGGAAGCTCCTGGCTCCTGGCTTCAGATCGGCCCAGCTCCGGCCATTGCGGCCAATTGGGGAGTGAACCAGCGGACGGAGGACCTCTTCTCTCTCTCTCTCTCCTCTCTCTCTCTCTGTGTAACTCTGACTTTCAACTAAATAAATAAAAAAAGTCTTTAAAAAAAAAAAGAAACTTGTCTCTTAATTTCATTTTTCCATGAACTTTTTGAGGCACACTTTAAAATATTTCATGGAAAATTTCAAATGCACACAAGTACAGAGCAAATAAAGTGCTAACCCCTGTATGTTCAGCTGCTGCCTGTTACCAGCTCCTCCTTTCATGCACACAGCCCAGTTTTCCTATCAAATGTATGTCGTGCGATGTACGTTGTACACGGGCACAGAAAGCACAGGCACTTACATCAAAATGACAATCGTGGTAAACATCTAAAAGAGAGAATTGTGACTTTAATTCTCATTTTAGCTACATTTCCTCATTTTTCTAAAATGATATGTATTGTGTAATTTTAATAGCTGATGGAAAGGAAAGAACTCAAGAGAAGTGACTCAAAGAGTGAGAGTTATTTCTGAATTCTACTCTTAGACATTAGAAACATATAAGGAAAAAATTCACGCCAAGGAATTTTTCCTGGGGGAGGGGCCATGCATTTGCCAATCTCCCAGATGTTTTATTGCTACCCTTCAGTGGTGACAAACTTCCCCCCCCTGACCGGACTCGGACTACAACATGCAACTGTAAGAACACAGTGGGGCAATGTGAACAGACTGGGTATTAAACTACACTGAGATAATATGAAGAAGTGACTTATTCTGTTAATGTGATACTGGCACACTGCAGTTAACCTGCTGGGAAAGAAGACAGCATTAGTGTTAATAAAAAGGAGAGAAGGGTACGGTTTCAGTTCTGTGAGATGAAATCCTTCTGGGGATCTGCTGCCCAGCACTTCGCAGAGTTGACGCTAACGTACCACCCACTTAAAAACAGTTAAGGAGGCAGAAGTTGTCACAGGCATTCTACCACCACCACAGCAAAAAAGACCGGCAAGAAGATGGTAACTATGAATGTCTACGGATGTTTACTTAAGTGTTTAAGAAATGAGGACCACACAACATTGGTCCACAGATTTTATTCTCTTTAGTTTGCTAAGGAAGAAAGAGAAACACATTTAGAAACAAAATTTTTTTAGTTGAAAAATCAGATAATTTTAGTTTAAACAAAATTATCAGAAGGATAATTCAAATAATGTTAGGAGGGAAAACAAATGTTGGCTCTTTAAGGGCTTCTTCTTCTAGCCCTTGCCAAATTATGATAAATAAAAATCCCATTTTTACTAACAATGAAATTTTAATTATGCAGAGTTGATCATCACAAAAGTAATTTAAAACTGGATAACAGTAATTTGATTAAAGTATCTGCAATCAATTATAACACTTCGCAGATAAATAATTGAAAACTGTAAAAATTAAGACTCAATTTGCTTTTTTGCTAATCTAAGGCTACAGTTAAAATCTAACAATATCTCATAGCTATTAGGATTGTATAGTGCTTTATCCTTTAGGTCAAAAAACTATAGTCTACACATCTCAGGATTTTCCTGGTTTGCTCTGGCTACATTGCTGGCTATGGCCTAGAAAATAATGTGTTGGAGCTGGCACTGTGGTGCAGAAGGTTAACCTGCTGTCTGTGATGCTGACATCCCAAATGGGCACCAGTTAAGAATTCTAGCTGCCCCACTTTGATCAGCTCCCTGCTGATGTGTCTGGAAAAGCAATGGAAGATGGCCCAAGTCCTTGAGCCTGTGCCACCCACAAGGGAAACCCGGATGGAAGTCCAGGCCTTCCCCAGTCCTGGCTGTTGTGGTCATCTGGGTAGTGAATCAGAGGATGGAAGATCTCTCTTTCTCTGTTTTTGTCTCTTCCCTTCAAATAAACAAAAGGAAACAAAATAATTTGGTTTCTGGGGTTGCTATGGGCCACTCCTGCCATTATGGGTGAAGTCACAGCAGAGCCATTCTTGGTAGACTGACCGCTGGTATTTCAGTGAGGACAAACAAAAAGCCTTAAAACACCAAATAAGTGCAAAAAATCTTTTTAAATGTGTGTGGGGGGAGGAGGGGCTTCTTAACTAATCCAAGTCTGTTCTCTATAAAAGGGAGACCACCACCGACCTTGACAGAAGAGCATGATGTTAAACAGGTAACTAACAACCTGCACCCAGAAGCCCTGAGACAGCATCTAGTACAGGTGGTGGTCCTAAACAATCATGTTCTCTCTTCATTTCCTCGCCTGTTCTGGACTATAACTGAAAAAGCAAATGAGCTATGTTCTAAGTAGACATATTCCTAAATGAGGTATGCATTCTTAGGTTTCAGCTAACTTTTCAATAAGAATTTTCTATCGGTGTTTTAAACAGTGTCTCTGCAGCACTTAGGTGCCACGTGGAACACCAGCAGCCCATACTGCAGTGCCTGGGTTCGAGTCCCGACTCTGCTCCTGATTCCAGCTTCCTGCTAATCCACACCCTGGGAGGCAGCAGGTGAGGGCTCAGGTGCCTGCATCCCTGCCACCCTCGTGCAAGACCTGCTTTGGCCTGGCCTGGCCTCAGATGTTGTGGATATTTGGGGAATGCACCAGCAGACAGAAGGTCTCGCCCTCCATCTGTCCTTCTCTCTCTGCCTTTCAAATAAGTAAACATAAATAAATAAAAACCTTTTTAAAAAATATTTTTCAAAAGTGTCATTGCCTAAAGGACACTACTTTCAGCTAGCGTGGGCACCAACAAAGTGTGAATCTCTCAGCATTTGAGTCCAAATAGGCAGACTGCCTGAGGTTCCCCAGCTATGAGATGGAACAAGGCCTGGACAGAGGGAGAACCAAGAAATCCAGAGACAGACACACAAGGAAATGGGAAAGGGAAGGAAGATGGCAGCAAGAGAGAAGGGGAGACGTGGACAGCACGCAAGACCAAGCTGAGAAGAGCGACATGAACAGAGTGAGCACAGAGCGAGCGAGGCAGCGAGAGCGAGGACAGCAGACAAGGAGCACGTGGACCCCAGGGCAGCGTGGCCCGCAGAGTGGGCGTGCAGCTGTGCAAGGGCAGGAGGGAGGCGAGCCGTGGACATGCTAAAGAGGACATGCTGTAAGCAGAAGGGAGGCTTGCTCCAGGCAAACAGCAGAGAGCAGAACCAAGCTGAGACAGAGACTGGCCGGCACCACGAAGTCACGCAGGTGGTCCAATTTCATCAAAATCTGCCTGCCTCTCGTTATTTTAAAACATCCTCAGCCTACCTGAATTATCTCTGACTGTTCAGCCAGCGCCTTCCTCTGTGCCTCCAGAGAAGACACCTGTTGCTGATAAATCAAACGCTGCTTCTCCCAGTCCAGCGACTTCTGACGGAATTCCTGCAGAGGCAATGAAGGTCCTTAACTTCACGTGCTTCCCTCCCTGTCGCCAGCTCCCAGGTTCACTTCTACTTTAACCTTCCCCACAGCTCTGGGTACACTGGCACTCCTCTCCACGGCAGGGGCCCCATTACCCACTTAGCTGATAGAACCGACCAGTAATACTGACGTCCTCACATACTGTGCCCTCCGGCCATCTGTCTTTCTAGATTTAACACCGCAATGGTGAAGAGTGTGAAATCCAGATGCTGAACTCTGGGTTGGTGATGATTTTCATAGATTTGCTGCCACCTAAGGGTTGCTGCAATTTTTTTTTTTAATTTTTCTGGAAACTTAGGCTAAGATAACTGAAACTTCAAAACATGATTACAGATGTCCCTCACTATCCACATTCTTGTTATCCAGACCTAGGAACTGAATAGATTAAAGCAAATTTTCAGGTGAGGCCCTTGCTAGCTTACTTCTAATTTCTCAGTGTATAAAGCTCAGGAACCAAGTAGATTCAGAGAACACAGAATTCTTTAATGTCCAAACTATTATCTCAACAGAAAAACTGCAAAAGATTTGAATAGTAAGGGAAATCTGTGGTAAATTTTAACAGATAATTGTAAACCAAAGTCAAATAGTATAAAATCAACAATGAATCAACAGTAACTTCAAATTGCATGACCAAGGAAACGAGCCCCTTATTCATGAAAATGGGACAATCGAAGGGAGAGGAAAGTCCTACCACTGTCCCCCAGGACTCTCAACTCTAGAAGTCGTCTGCTCCTCGGGACACCTGCTAATCAGATTCCTGGTATGCACCCATTCATCCTATGCCATGTTAGTGCCAGTTAGGGATCTAGGTAGCAAAGCAAACAGAAATCCAAGCCCCATTTATTCAGAGGGCAATAGGCGACACGCTCATATACCACACAGAGGATGGCCACTGTGCCCTACAGAGGAAGGGAACACGTGCACAGCTTGGAGTACTCAGAGCTGGGGATTGCAGTGAGTAAACACCTAGGGAGACAGAGGTGAACAACCCTCAAGCGGAAGCATCCTGGGGTGTCTGTGTGACTAAGAAGGCTGGCGTGGCTGGAAGGGAATGAGAGAAAAGGGAAGCAAAGAGGGACGAGGCCAGGCAGTTAACGATGTGGAGCTGTGTAATTCACTGAGGCAAGTTTGACTTTCAGAAGCTACCAGGAGGTCGCTGTGCAGGAGGTGACACGCTGGCTGGAATACGGCACAATCATCTGGCTGCTATGCCATGAAAAGAGAAGTCAAAGATGACTCCAAGGTTTTAGGCTGAAGCAAACTGAAGAATGGAACCGAAACAGAAACTGGTATTGGGAAGAGAAAGTCAGGACCATGCTAAGTCTGGCACAGTATTAGGTAACACAGTGCAGATGTGACACAGGCAGTAGAAAGTTGTTTTCCAACAAAAAGGTCAGACCACACACACACACACACACACACACACATATAAATAAAACCAATTTGGGAATTGTGGTCAAACATAGTGTTAAAGCTACAAGACTGAATGAAATCAGCAGGGGAATGAGCATAGATG